CGACCTCCCCGCTCCCGCCTCCCGCCGCCGCCGGGCTCAGGCCCGGCACGGCCCCGCCGGCTCCCCAAAAGCGGGTTGGAAGCGTGCGTTAAGCCCGTCGCCGAAGCCATCTCCCGGCTCGGGCGAAGCAGGAGCTGCTGCAGCGAAGAAGCCGCTTTGCTTCCCAAGAAGTCAGGAGTTCAAGGTTACTGTCCTAAAAATCCTTCAAGTTATGTTTTGGTAATAAAAGAAAAAAAAAACAAAAAACAAACCAAAACCAAACCACAACCAAAACTGTCTGAAGTAACCAATTTATATATATAAAAAAATAGGTCATTACTGTTTCTTCCCACAGGTGTTAATTTTTCTTTTTCTTCACTACTACACAATATATATTACTGAAAAATAATTGCTGCAAGGAAGAACGCATGGATAGACACCACAGCTATGTCCCAGGTTCAGAGATCTGCTGGGAAGATGAGGGCATCTCCAACGGTACACCTTTCACACCACCAATAACACATAGCCATGTCCCTCACTGAGCCACTCGTGACTTGTGACCTGTTTCTCTAACCAGGATGAAATAAACTGGAAGCTTCATAAATAAAATTTTAGGTCTGGAGCTGCAATAACTTCTCTGTCATAAGGAAGTATTAGCAGCCGTAATCTTAGGCAAGTGATTTATTTTCTTTGTGGATAACGCACACCATCAGCATTTCAGTATTGTGTTTTCGAAGTTCAGCAGTCACATGCACAGATGGGAAAGCGGAGTTGAACAATGGGGAATGTTCACTTTGGGACAGGTAATCCCACACTTACAGAAGACATCAGGAGCATCATACAAGTTTACCATAAAATTATCACAGTAGTAGTAGTAGCAGCTACTATCAGATTCAGCCACCCCACAGTGTTGCCTTTACCACACTTTAAAAAGCAGGGCAGTAATTCTCGAATTAAGATGTCCAAGGGAAATAACAGCTGCTGCCCACTCAGGTCTATTGGAATATGACTGAAGAATATACACCCGACTACACTGAATTTTTTATTCGAGCATTTAAAAAACTCATACCACCTCGAGGCAATGTGCCATTCTGCCTCTTGCAAAATCATTACTGAAGGATGAATGTGGATAAGGGCAGGAACACTCCCATTTACAACAAATCATAGCAAGTATCAGCCTCAGTTCAAAGATCTCGTTCATGGTTTTCAGAGTCAATACGGAACATTGATTATGTTACTAACACAAGGAAAGAGCAGCCCACACTGAGAAGGCAGAAATGACAAGGCATCTTCATGGTTAATTATGATTGGGAAGACAACACCATGAGATTCCAGCTACATATGTATAGCAAATATCTTACACCTGGGGGAAGATTATCCAAACAAATGATATTCAGGGGGAAGTAAAAGGCTAAAGCAGCTGGTATGGGTGAGAAAACCCTACAGTGTAAAGCTCTGCAGCAGATCAGACCAGAGCTGCGATGGGGTATGGCTGGAAGACATGAGCACGCCCTCCCCGCTGTCTGCCCCAGCTGTAGGAACAGCATCCCCCACCTAAACAAGGAAACCCAAGTTCATCTCATTACCGTTCCAACAGAACCTTCTGGTGCAGCTTATGCAAAGATCACACTATGCAACCGATTTAAAAGCTCAGGGAAAAGGTACCTCAGGAATATCAGCTATGAAAGGAAATCAAGCGACAGAGGAAACCACAGCAGTGAGACGGAGCAACGTGAGCGAGCGTGGTTCTGTCATTGCCTTTTTTGAGTAACGTGCCCCCAAAGGAAGTTATTCAACATGTACATTTTATTGCAAAAACAGACAGAACAAGTCCGATGGGTCCCTTTGGGACACAGCAGCTTTCTCCAAACATGAGCTAAACAAATGATTCTCACAGCTACGATCACCGGACTGGACACCTGGAGACCACAGGTCCTCTGTCAGGCTGTCTCGGCACACTGGAAGCCCAGAAGCTAATGCCCAGAGCTTAAGGTGACAAACCACATGGACCTCTGGCAGCAGCAGGAGTAACTGGGCATCAATTACTGCCATTTTGCAGAAAGTTTAAGTCACTTCAGTTGCAGCTGGAACAGAGCAACTCACTCCCAACTCCTGCCAGTGCAACAGACTTCCAGCAAAGCAAAACCCGCTTCCTACAAACACTGCTGGGCACATACAAGTGTTTTAGTGCTGCAGCAAAAGCTTGGGCTCACCTGTTTCAGGTTTACAAAAAGATCCAAGAAATGCCAACAGTTTTTCCCAAATCCTCTGCTCCTTCCACCTTCCTCGGAGAAAGTCAGGCCTGCCAGAGCCACTACACCACCACCAGCAGCGACTTGGGGGAGGCAACGACAGAACAAACACAAGCCTGACAAATTTTTCAGGTGGAGAAGGGGCATCAGACAAAACTACCAACCCTGAGTAGTTTGAGTTGAAAATCCCTGATCTGCCAGTTAGAAGACAACACAGGTCTTGTACACTTGGGTTATTTCTCACACACCTGAGCAGCTTGTTAAGAAATCGGCAACCGAGTGTGAAAATTGCTCATGCCCTCATGCCCACCGCAGCGGCGGCGGGCACTCTGCACAGCGCAGCCTACGCTGGCGTAGCAGGAGGGGGACTATGCAGAGATATACCTTACTTAGGAATGCTCACGCGCTGTGTTAAGTAGCATGATAATTAAATCGTTAGTCACATTGACAAGTGGGTGGAAGAGGCTGGAACTGTCTGATGCAGTTTGCTACAGGCAATTATAGATTTACCAGCGATGTATCTGTCACACACAAAGATGGGCTCAGACCCAAGTATCTGTAACAGCTCAACTTTAGCCCATTTCCCAGAAGCAAAATGGAACGGAGACACCAGCTCTGCATCTGCGGTGCTCTGCAACAGCCCAGACCCACCGCCAACCTACCACATGAGCACAGCTGTACGATTTCACATCCTCAAATATTCATCCAAGCAAGAACTTGCAGAAGCTAATCCTTATCCAAAGATCTGGGAATTTACCTGCTTGAAATTCTCCCTGATAATACTAACTAGTTATGTAGCACAGGCCTGTTATGTGGTGTATCTCACTTGGCTCCTGCATGACAAAAGGCTCACAGGCTCAGTGGAGGAGATCTGACAGCAGTTCGGTAAATATCTAACCACTCTCTTCAGTAAGCATCTGCCACTCACATAGGAGCAACTCACCTTTGCAACAATTCCAAAATTCCTCTAAAGCACAAAATCGAAAGTAATTCCATTTGTTCTTAATGAACTACATTTTACATGGGAGCCGACAGTGAAAGACTGGATCTTGTATTCCAGAGCAGCAGCCCTGTTTCACTATCAGCCTCAAAATTCTTCCATGTAGAGGGATGTAATTAGGAAGGGATGGGAAGAAAGGTAAACAGTAACAGTAAGGTAAACAGGAAACAGTAACTTGTGTTAGCGACATCTCGCTTGCTGTGCTGATCCCACTCCGCAGAGAAGCCCGTGCAGCTGGTACCTTTCCCAAATCCAGAATTCTCAAATTCTTTAGAAATAAACTGTTGCTAGAGAAACCCAAAGGCTTGCGGGGGGATTCTGTGCACCTGCTGCTTGCTGCGACAGGTCAGCTTGCAGGAAACAGCAGTTGGTAGGAACGTGCACAGAGGACAAGACTCACACAGACAACTGAGGTGGGTTGTTTTTCCCCAAAGAAATTTTATTTGGGAAAGTTGACAGAAATCCCCCAGCCAGTCATTACAGGTAAATCCATACCAGTCCCCTACAGCTGCTCCCCAGTAACCATACCAGTACAGTGAAGATCAGAATGTAACACCAGAACGATGATAGTGTAACAGTCACCTGGGGAACTTAAGGCCTCGCCACCATTTTTCAGATAAAGATATCTTTGTACTCAGATAAGGACGGGGAGAGGTCATCAAAACAGACAAGACTGGGAAAGCCCCTTTCTTGTACTGTCTTTCAAAGTTATATAAAAACAAAATCAAAACCTTAACAGATCAACAGGCTTCAAACTGTAGGACCTAAAACTACCTTCAAAAGACTTCTGTCCTGTGGCATCACTGCTGTTCTGCACTGTAACAGCTTTCAAAAATGTAGAAGGATAAAATGGATGCAAGGGCAGAGAAGTGGACTTGAATTCTTAATATGGCTTTATCAAAAAAAGAAACAAATTAAAAGCAATCTAAGCACTTGCCAGTAGGACTAACAACTCCAGGAACTTGGCAATGGCAAAGGAGAGGCAAAGTACTGATGTATTTAGATGACAGGAGGTCATCTTTTAATCCTCTTTCCCATTGCCTCACCCTGGACAACCGTTTCCTTCCCAGCAATAGATCAGATTCAGGTCAGAAGTTACAAAACCATGCTTTTTTCAAAATGGCAGGCCGGGCCCAGGGCCATGACAACCCCTTCCCTAGCCAGAAGTGTCTAGGCACATGACACCAGAATGCTGTGCCGCTGAACCATTGGCTCTGAAGGAACGCAAAGAAGGTGAAAGAATTCTCATCACTGCCTGAAAACCGCAGCAGGTTAAGTCCAGGAAGTTAACCTGTCTGTCTTCTCCCCCCCCAGCCCGGCTTATTTAACATCATGCCACCTGGATGGCTGAGGAACACTGAGAAGCTGCTCGGTCTCTCTGTAGTACCGCATAGGACAATACCAATTCTATCAAGGGCACAGTTCAGACTCCCCCCAGACATAGAATTAGCCTATTCCTACCCTGTACTGCCTTTTTTTTTGTTTTGGTTTTGTTTTTTTTTCAGTTCATCCACATCCTTCCAACTCCTCTGCCAACCTGCAAAGCGTCCCTTGCACCCTCAGACCTCAACACAGAGTACAGGCCCTCATGCTTCACAGGAGCAGCAGCCCACCTTGCTTTGAGGTCTCAGAAAATGAGATTCAGCCAGTTGCCTGCTGGATAAACGCTATGCTGTTAGATGAGAGAAGTCTCCTGCTCTGTGTAAAAACAATTTTCCTAGCATAACCTGCTCCTATTCACTCTGTGACTGTACCTGACTGAGGCCTCCTGGCTACACAAAAGGCCATCCCTGACCAAGGCTTGCAGGAAAACCACTGCATCATTTCAGAACAAGAGAGGCAAATCCCAGACAAACACGTGGAGCAAGGGCGGGGCCAAAGCTGGACAGCTTATCTGAGCAAAGCAGGCTTCTCCCTTCCAAGCTCAAACACGTTCCCAAGCCCTCCTTCCAAGGCTCCCCCTTCCTCCAGGCTGAACCACCCTATGCTCAAGTGCCCTGACCTGTCAGCACAAAGACACCAGCTCCCACAGGGAGAAACACAGAGGTCTACCACAGGGACCAAACCTTGGACCTCCCCTCTATCCTCAGGCCCTGCTGGAATGATGAATCCTATTGCTTTGTGCTCACCTCTGTTTGCACGAGGCTTAGATCCCAGCTGGCCAGAACAGGGAATGCCTGGCTCTGCCCCGCTGCCAGCTGCATGGCACCTAAAGAGCTCAGCAGGGTCAAGTGGCTCAGAGTAACACTACAGTCACAGACAGATGGGAGACATCATCAAGCCAAGATTATAAAAGGAGAACAGACAGCGCAAAAAACTTGCTGCAGCTGTCATGGAAACATCTTTTTTCTTTTTTTTTTTTTTTTTCCTCTTTTTTTTTTATTTAATCGCTGCCCCAGGAATCCCCAAACCCATCATAACCTCCCCCACCCTCAACTTCCAACAGGATTTCACAAGTTCCCCGTTGCCTCTAATGTTTAGGCTCCCCTCCCCCTTTAGGGTCCAAGTTCCTGCAGAAAAGCTCCAGTCAGCGGGTATCATCTGTGAGACGGCTCCAGGGGGCCAAGGCTGCATCCCAGCGGTGTCCAGCTGGGTCTGAGAGGAGGGGGAGGAGGACTTGCTCCTTTACTCAATCAGTTTCTTGGCCTTGAAGAAGCGACGCAGGTAGAAAACCTGCCAGGTAGCCAGTCCGATGAGACAGCACATGGAGAAAATGCTGAAGTACAGAACCCGGGTGTTTGTCGACTCTGAAACAGACAACAAACCATTGTACAGGAGTCACAGTATGCGCCTCAAGAGGGCAAAGTTCCCAGGATTTTCTTTCCCCACCCCTGCGAAACTTCAAAAGCAAGATATCATACAGCATGAAGGCCAGGGCACCCAAGCACCGGCAGTATTTGAGAATAAAAGCAGCAGGAACAATGAGAAGGATAACAAGAAGGAACAAGGCGAAACTGTGTTAATGGGCAACATTAAATGGTACAGCGTAATTCACATTAGGAATGGAGACAGAAAGAAATGATTTCTAGAGAGAGGACACACAAGACTCAGTGACTGCTTTAAAGAGAGAAAAATATCAGCACGTTTCCCCTACTAGGAACAGAACAGGCAGAGACTGCTGTAACTGCTTGATCTCCAAATGCTGTCCTAACAACACATTCAGCAGAAGCAAGGGGTCTTAGAGCTCCATCCCTCTGAAGGAGCACACGGTGTCTTACCGTTCGTGTCCCTCATCTCCTCTTCTCGTTTCTTCATGTAGGCAAAGTCATTAACGATGGACTCTGAAAGATCTTCCAGGCGCCTCAATTCTACTTCCAGAGGCTTCAGCTTCTCCACTTTTGCAATCTAGAAAACAGAAGAGTCATGCAATCACTGAGCCAAAACCGAAAGCTCCCACATGGGTTTTTACTGTCAGTTTGAACCACTCCTCCTCAGATATTGCAGATCTGGGGCATCCTTCCCCTAGGGAAGCACCTCTACAAGCCAGAAACTACCATTGCATAAAACACTACCACTTCTCCCACCTGTTCTCTGAAACACACTTTCCTACTACGCCTCCTACACAACGGAGGAGCACTGTATGCATACAAGCACATTTCTCCCTTATTCGGCCTAACGTTAGCTTATTCACAGTTGGCTTCTGAGGAGTGGGTAGAAGAGCTTGCCACATGACTAAACCTCCAGTGAATAGAAGTCACAGACTGAGACACAGGTGACTAACTTACATACGCATACGATGTTCTATAGGCGCACCGAGACTCACTTTGCTAACTGCTGCCACATGCCCCAGAAAGCCCGGGGAGTCCAATTCCCAGTAGTATCGGTTTGATTCCACTGACAAGAGCTCGGGGCTTTTATCACTTAAGATTGATAACCTCAAGGGCAGCAGCACACGGTCTTGGCAGGGACCATGCCGCTACGAAGTGCTCCATCTGCCTCAAGCCACCAGGTGGCGCTGCTGGAACACTTACGGGACCAGCTCTCCCGGAGCCACTTTGAAAGAAAAAGAAACACAGACCTCCCTCATAAAAGCTGGTTTTACGGGACATCATTTTTGTGCAGATCATGCAACCCACAATCCTACAAGTCACAGACTTGTATCCATAAAGAAATATCCACGGGAAATTCAATTATAAAGCACAGTCCAGAACAGCAACTATTCAGAGCTGAATGCGTAAAAACACGTTCCTGCCCGAGTCCTGGCTGTAACCCGACTACACGTTATGTAAAATCTGTGACACAAGGACATTGCTCAAAGGAAGCTAACTGCAATTCCTGCCACTTCTACAGCTTAGAGTTTGGGTAACTCTGGTTCTTGCATAGAATTTGTCACTATTAAAGTGCTTGATAGGACGAGGGGTAATGGCTTCAAACTGGAAGAGGGTAGATTTAGAATAGATATTAGGAAAAAAAAATTCACTATGAGGGTGGCGAGGCACTGGAACAGGTTGCCAGAAGTTGTGGATACCCCATCCCTGGAGGTGTTCAAGGCCAGGTTGGACAAGGCTTTGAGGAACCTGGTCTAGTGGAAGGCGTCCCTGCCCATGGCAGGGGGGTTGGAACTAGATGATCTTTAGGGTCCATTCCAACCTAAACCATTTGATGATTCTATGATTACCAACAAGCAACAGGACCCCACCATGAAGGTCAGATGCCATGCCCCTGAGTAATCCAGCAGAAGAGAGATGCACTACAGAAAACACCTGCAGCACCGGCAGCTCACCACTGGTCTCGCCACCACACGGGATTACTCAGACATAAGCTGCAGGACATCTCTCAGTGGTCCAGATGCCGACAGGCCGGCAACAGGGTGCCCAGGGTGCTGGCATCCCCAAAACACCGCTTCCAGAGGCAGCTGCCTGGGCTTCGGAGCCCATTTGAAGGGATGCTCGTGACCAGGCCAGTGCTAGCTCATCAGCCACTTCACTGAAGGGTCTTCATGTGACACGCGTATCCTGGCAAACTGCAGGCCATCAAGCAGTCATCTGAGGATTTTTATGCTGAGGTGAGCTGTATGTTACAGCTCTGCCAGCACAGCAGTGTCAATTCAGAGTGCATTTGTGAGGAAGGGTAGGAAATGGGAGGTTAAACCCCTCCCGCTTTCTAGCCAATAGGTTGTACTGATAAAACCCTGTGGCCTGGACATGTATCGGCCAGCAGAGCTTTGCTGAAAAACTGGCACCAGTGTAAGAGTGCCTATGGCCCAGACTCTGCTGGCACAGCTACAGCAGCAGGTCTGTAACGCACACAAGGTCTCAGGCAGCTCCACTGACAAGCTAACCCCACGTTGAATGGCTCCGCATCTTCCTGGAAGGTACTTCTCCTCATTCACAGAAGGCTATAAAGGTTCCACTGGGAAAAAAAAACAACAAGGCTTGTCTGCTCCGTCCTACGTCCTTTCAGCTGCTCTTAATAGGTGTAGCTAGAAACACCTGATAGCTACTTTAGTCCTGTACGTACTCTGAGACAAACATCCTGGAACCTCTTTCATTCCTAGTGAGGCCAATATGCACCGCTGCTCCAAGAGATTTTGTAAAAAGCTGACCAAGTACCTGTGATGGTGGAACACTATCATCCTAGAAGGAACACCTGGACCACCAGAACAGCCAAGACCACAACCCCACTGAACTTCTGAGGGGCCACTCAAAGATTTGTCAAAGCCTAACTCTTCCTAGCATAGAAAGAGACATGCTACAGCCAAGAACTGACAAGCATCAATTGATCTGGAAAGGAACCTAGATCACCAAGCCTTCGTGGTGCCCTCTGAAAAGTCTTTTCACTTTTCGCTCCCTTCATTTCTACCCATTGAATGGAGAAAGTTACTCCTCCCTACCCTAGAGAACTAAAGTATGATGCTACCATGCAGTTAGGTTTTCTAACTCAGCTCACTCTCCCAGTTGCTTTCCTCCAAGAATGTCTGGATCTATGAAAGCTCATGGAGCCAGACTTGGACTTCACCCCTCCTCTCACTGTATATATCCTTGCACAAGCACAACAGTATCAGTGACCCTTGTTCAACTTCCTGCGTCAAGTCTCCTTGCAGCAGTTCAACAAGAAGAACTTGGGGGGAAGACAGGTCACGGGTACCTTATAGCTGATGAACATCACAAGCAAAAGGCTCAAAAAGGCAGCAAGTCCAGGAGAGAAACCTGAACAACAGTCCTCCCCTCTGAGGCCTTACAGCAGCCTGTCCAGTCAAAACCCACAAATACTACAGCAACCTGGGGAGAGAGAGGATCAAAAAAAGAAAACACACTGGAAAGCAGCGTGGCTAAACATCTGTAGCAGCTGTACAAACAGTAAACCAGCCTAAGTCCTTTGCAGACACGCTGCTCAACAAGGCTTGACACAGTCTGCCACTCTGAGAGGTCCTCGCAAGTCAAGGATGCTCGCCAGAGCTGACAAGATCTGCATGTGGTATCAGGTGGGACTGCAAGTCTAAATTCTTCTTTTCCCATGTTTGTTCATGGACCTTTTCCATTGATCTAACTACATTGACGAGCATAATGGATATTTACATTTATTCCAAGACAGCTGTATCAGTACAACCAGTGAACACGTAGATACACGGGCATAACAGAACCTTTCTGCATAGGGACAATGTCTCTAGGCAGCACTACAGTAACGTAACTCACAGTATGCTGCGGGGTTGTATTTAGAGATGCCGTAAACGTAGTCACCATAATCCTCCCAGTTACTAACGCTCTCAGTGGTCATTCCATAAGATTTCAACATCTTGTAATCCTTCATCAGCTGGTTGCCAGACAGCTGGCCTAACGATTGCTCTGCTCTTCCCTGACCCCAAGTGCTTTTTTACTGTGCACATAGGACGTGCTCTAGACTGACTTAAGCAATGATCTCTCTGGTCTTCCCTGACCTCAAGCACTTTCTTACTCTCCACGTAGGATGTGCTCTAGACTGACTTAAACCACCGCAGGACCAGCTAGTCCAAAGCTCAAAAGGATATAAAAACTCCAGCATGCCCATCTCAAACTTGTTCATTTTCTAACTGGCACCATACAGAGCCTCCTCTGCTACCCACTCTCCTCCCTCAGGCATCTCCCACACTGTTGCATACAGTGGACAGAGCAATCATTTGCAGGAATCTTTCTCCACCAACAACTGTAATTTTCTAAGGCACAGGCTCTTTGCTGGGGGCCACCTGGCCCCAAATTACAGAATCACAGATTGGTCAGGGTTGGAAGGGACCCTTGGAGATCATCTAGTCCAACCCCCCCGCCAGAGCAATCCCCCTGCCCAATTCTAGTGAGGCAAAAGCACAGTAGCAGCAGCCATCAAAAGTCAGCATCCAAACCAAACCAGCCAGGACTGTCCCAGCCACAGAGCAACTGCTATTCCACACAGCTGGCTCCTGGGTCTAAGAAAGCTATGTCCTCCTAAGATGGAAACCTTTAGGCTTTAGGCCTATTTGCAATGTCACGCCTTCAAACCAAACACCCATTTCACGCCAGCTACTGTTCTGCCAAACACCTTTACACTGATACACTGCCAGTTCTTAGAAATGCACAAGCGCCATTTCAGGGCTGTTGAGCCAGTACATCTTACAGTCAGGAAGGTAAGAACAGTAACAGAGCAACTTGACCATTAGGAGGATCTGATATTAACCTAAAATGCTCTCCACTGGCGGGGCAACTCACATCCCAGTCATGCTGTCCTAGCAAAGAAGTTCACAGATGAGGCTCCAGTTCCCAGAGTACAGAATTAGTTCTAGTTGATGTTTGTTTGGTTTTTTTCCTGCTTTAACACACAAAGCTTCACTGGAATTATAAACTGCAGACAGGCTTTCATCACCGCTGGGAAAACAGCTTCCCATCACGAGCCCCAGATCTACAAACGGCATCACGTGAGTGCTGGGAAAGGGGAGCCTGCAGTGCAGGCAGCCAGGGGACGTACCTCCTCGTAGTTCTTTGCTTCAACTCCATGCTTCATATCCAGGATCACGAGCTGGTCCGGCATCCTCCCTGTTCCTGGAAGCATAATGAAAGGATTCATTGTGCGAAACATTCAGCCTGCCAGGAAATCACCCGCTCCCCCCACTGCTGAGGAAGAACTCACAACATCCCTCCCCTCCCCTCCATGTCTGCAGCTAACTGCGGAGGCAGCACAGTCCAGCCTAAAAATACAGAGACTTCACAATAAATCCTGGCTGAAGGAGAGCCTCCCAAAGATAATGAGAACAAGCTGTAACTAAAAGCGCTAAGTGTGTGTAGGATGCAAATCACTGTAAAAACTGCAGAGGATTACAAGATGAATACCAGCTGCTGTGAGACAGCCTGGCAAACGACAAGTCACCAGAGGGACAAATATTCAGCTGGGAAGCCCACGTTCCTCCTAGCAGGAAGTGCACCAGCAACTTGTCAAGGTTATTGGGGTTGTAAATGATTTTACATTCAAAGAAGCAGAAGGTACACTGCTCTAGTTGAGGAATATGGCATACGGGGACTACTGACCCTCGCACGCTGCAGTATCTGCAGAGGGGAAGGCAATCCCTTTACCACCGTATCTTTTCAGGGAAGGAACAGCTCAGATGTCCGAGCCCCACACTGCTAATGCAAACCCCAAGATGGCAGGAGGCTTCTAAAGCCGGGAAAACGCCACTTCAGAGAACTGCCAGCTGGAGCCGCACAAACAGCGAGTAGGATAAGGCTGCAGTCAACAGCACAGTAGGTATCTTTTAAAGCTGTAGCCTCCAAGCTAGGGACACCTATGTCTAATAGCTTCTTTTAACTGCTACGAACTGTCACATCTGAGAACATTCACAAGAGGCGGAAAAAAAAAAATAGAGAGAGAACAGGCATATAAGATACCCTAAAGAATGTTACACGTCAGCTGACTCAAATATCATATTCTACTATACCACCCACCAAGGAAACGTCTGTACATAACACATTCCCAAATCCCAGCACTTTGGGGCATACATTTGTCCTCAGCTGGCTGCCAGCAAAACACAAGGTCTGAATTCAGTTATACTATGAATTTCAGTCTTTATCCAGGAGCACATCCAATACTCACACTTTGCCTCAGGAGGCTGCCAGGTGGACGTTCCCTCAGTCCACACACAAATTCAATGTGCAGGTTACACTGGGTCACTCCAGTCAGAGCTAGGAACATACTCCAGATCTTCAGTACAACATCCCCAAATTTTCTCTCTACACACTGAGCAGCTCTTCAACACCAAAGTAGAACCTCCTCCACCTTCTACCGCTAGCAGAACACAAAATAACCTACTGACAATATGGTCCATACCAACTACAAACTGTTTCTTTAATTTCCTGACGGATACAGGAGCTCAAAATTCAAACCCAGCTATGTAAGTGCCCAATGAATAAATGAGGATTAGGATGAAATTTTTTGGTTTTCTTATAAAAGACCAGTTACTGTAAAAACAAACTCAAATCCCAGCACTGTTCTTTAACAGACAGACTGCATACGATCACCCAGTGCTCCTTTCTCCAACCACAAGTTTTGACCACTTATGCCATACATATACCAGCATGCCTGGCGACTGGCAGGTAGGACAGCCAACAGTAGCTGCAGAAGAAAATTCAAAGCACGCAGTCCAGTGAGAGCTTGTTTGTTTTTTTTCAAACGTTCTTTAAATTACAGCAACTTGGGTGGAGAGCTGGAGCTTCCAGGAAGAGATGAGAAAGATGAAAAGGCCAGTGAATGGGAGAACAGAACTGGAAGGATTAATTTGTCAGGCTGGAAGGGAAAGCTGCCAAGAAGCAGTAAGAAAGTAGAAAACTTAGAGCTGCTGGGTGCAAAGGGATGGAAAGCAGACATCCTGCAAGAGGTTAACGTTGTCAGGGACTGGCCTGGAAAAACTCAAGCTGCTCTTCTACAAGTTTCCTGAGCACAAGGCAGGAGGCAGCTCCCTTCACGCTCATCAGATCCTCAGTAACTCCCTGCCCCTCCTGCAGCATGGGCTCACTAGAGCAGACTGGATCAGCAGCAAAGAGGAAAACAGTTAAGTCCCGACGATCCTGAAGTAATCTGACACCTACATTCCCCAGGAGGTCTTCAAGAGGTCATCTCACATGAGCATAGAACTGTTTCCTGGGAGATTAGGGGAGCTCCTAATTTGCAAAGTCAGTGGAAAAACAGGATGGCTGATGTGGACATCAAAAAAATTTTCCCACAGGAATTCCAGGAAAAACTGAGCCATAACACTCTTAAAGTTTGGGAAGAGAAGGATTACAGAAAGAGCAAAGAGGCAAAGATTAGCTACATAGGAAGAGCCCTACAGGGGAGCATGTAGTGCAGGACAGGCTGTTCTTCTCAGAGATTAGCATATGGTGCGAGAGTGAGCCCTTCCACCCTGCAAGAGGGGAAAAAAACCTGCCACGCAAACACCCATAGCTCCAAGAAGCACCCCAAGAACTTCTCCACTCTGATAAGATGGACCTTCTAAACAGGATCTCCTTCTCACTTCCTCTTCCTCATTTCTGTGGTTAAGGATTGAGAAATCCCAGTTGCTTAGACCCCCCCAGGTCCCAACGGCTCTGGGCTTCCTCTACCAACAGTTTTTCTCTTCCAGTACTCCACCAATATCCTCCTTGGCTGCCACACTACAAGTCCTGACCACTTACATAATGAGACTGTGAAAAAAACCACCCAACCTTTAAAGAGAAATGTAAGGATAAAACAGTGCTTGGTCAGTTCCCCCACTCCCATGCTGACCTTATAGAGGAAACAAGGCACTTCCTTGTGATGTGGTTACTTCTGCCACAGTACCTTAACCAAGTCCTGCAGATGATCAAGTCTCACAGTGCCACCTCCCTTACTTTAACATTTGCTTGATTTCCAGCACAGGTATGGGAAATCTGGAGATAACTCATCATGCAGCATCTCTCTCTTTAGAATTTGGGATGTCTGAGTCCAAAAAAAAAATAAAAAATATGGCAGCTTAGAGCCCCCCAAAGAGAAAGCCTCCAGAAGAGGATTCAGCTGCTCAATTGAACAGCTCTAGATTTTGACATCTCAGCACACCACTACTGGTCACCAGGTAGAAGCTGCACTTTGAAATATTTTATCCTCATCAGCACTGACAGCTGATACGCTTTAAAACAAACTTGCAAAAAATACAAGGGAGCCAGGGAACAAACATTTGCTACAATCAAAAGAGCTATAAGGGGCTCAGTCTAGGCAAGAAACCTCCAGTCGCAAGCACCAAAATAAGAGTCTAGACACAACTAAAGAAAGAAGCCTTTCCCACCTCAGCATGTGATCACATGGTAGCTATGAAAGGATTTGTGGGACTGTCTGGAGACCTCCCAAATACCCAGGTGTAGGACAGTAAATAGGATGAGTGACTCCCAGATGAATCACTAGTGCCTGCATGTCTTGATGCGTTAAAGAGCATTTGGAAGTCCTACCTTTGGAGTAAAATAAAAGCAAAATCCTGAGCATTTGGAGTCACTGTCTTGTCTGTAAAATACTATAAGACGTGTTACAAGCCAGATCCCTCCCAATCCCAGCAAAGACGACAGCCTTCTCTTTCTGGAAGGTTCTATTCAACTTGCAAACTACTTGTATCTTATACATGGAGCAGAACAGCAAAGCAGAAGCTGGCTTTCAACAGATATGCGGAATGCTGCTAGTGACTGCTCTGTGAATGCTCTGGGATCTTTTATGACAAGACCTAAGAAGAACCAGGTCCAGGGAGCAGAACTCTGACAGTGACCATGGAAAGATGTGAGCACCTACAAACTTGCTTATGTTCGTGTGGTGGCTCATGCCACCACAAATGCGGCCAGAGCCCCCGTGTTGGCCGTTTTCAGCATGTTTGTCCTGAAGTTGAGCCCAGCCACTCAAAGCAGCACATGCGTCACGCTCACAGGAAACGGGCCTCAGTGCTCGTTAGGCAACCATCCCTGCAGCACAAATGCAAGGCTGACGTCCTGCTCATTTCCCCTTTCCTTTACTGACCAGTTAGGGAGCAGTTGTGGGTGCAAACTGAAGCCACGTTCTCTATATGCACACACCCCAAACCCAGAAAATGGTTGCTAACCTAACACGGGGTTCCTGCCAAGTACACATTGTGGAGAGATGACATTCCATCAGGCGGGAAGAGATGGTCAGCTGGGGAGAAAGACCTAGAGATGATGGCATCCTGCTCTGCCCTGGCTCGACTGCAAGATGGGGAGAAGCATGCAAAGGGCAAAAGAGGTATGGTTTGCTCCCCAGTACTGCCACTCATTACAAATGTGATGACCTCCGCAGGAGGAACACGTGATTCTCGTTTCAGAGGAAACCCAAGTGCTCTACACTACAGCCACAGAGAATTACTTAACTTCAAACGCAACACCGACAGCAGATATTCTGCAGTGAGACTGCCTACAACCTCCCAAAGATCAGCTTTAAAAGTCAAACGGGGTTCTGCAGACCACACTCAGGATCACTTTGCCAACGCCTCTAATCCACATATCTACATTAACTTGTTGGGAAGCTAGAAGCAGCCAACAGACCTTTCACTTCACTTACCCACAGGAAGCTTGCTCTCAAAACAGGCCTCAAACATATCATAGTCTTCAGTGGTGAAGGCAAACTTGCCCTTAGTGGCGTCCTCCTTGGCATACAGGATGTGCCCAGCTGAGTCAGTGATCTGTAAAAGAGACAAGGAGGGTGAGGAACACAGTGTTTCACGGCCACGGGCTCACACTGCCTGTGCTACGCAGGAAGAGTTCTTGTAGCATCCCCTTTGGAGCTGCCACATTCTCCTTTCAACAGTTTCCCTCCTTCCTCACAACTATATCAATTCCTCTCCTCCTCATCCCCACTCCAGCAGCTGACAAAGTCAGAGCGCCTCTAAGGTAATTATTGACTCTTAAACAAAAAAGAACCCTACCAAAAATATCAATCAACTAACCAACCCACCCACCCCAAAACCACACCAATTCCTCTTCCTCCTATAACCTCTCAATATAGACTACATTCAGGAACTCTAGCTGAACCAAACTGTTATTCATTGCCTTCTTTTTAGCAAGCAAAATTCATAAATTCCCACAGCAACAGAGATATGGAGAAGCTTTACAGGACAAAAAAAGACTCATTCCCCAGAAGATGAAATGGAGAAGGGCACATCTATTCCTCTAGAAATGAACCATCCGTATGGCCCTGAGTTATAAAGTTTGGGTTCCAAGATCCATAAAAGTGGCCACTTCAGAGGACAATTCAGACTACACAGACAGAATAATGACTGCTTTGTGCTAAGTCTACGAAATTACTAAGAATAGGCCAAAACTGTGGAAGGTCTACAAAAATGCTTCAACAAAGAATCAGAAAAAAGGACACGCATTTCATGACGCAGGCTTGAGAATCATTGTGCTCAATTAAAGGCTACATCCAGTTGAAACACTCTGACCATGGAGACGGGTGAAAAAAACTGAAGGCGTTACAACACTGCGTGAAAATCAACAGTGTGTGTTCCACTGGAATGCTTCCCAGTTTCCCTCAACTCTATCCTTCAACAGGTACGACTGAAAAAGCACGGCTGCTAAAGTTACTAGGGGGTTTTGGAAGTCTTAGAGGTGAAGAGACTAAAAAGCTTGGGAACAATTTTAAAGGTATGTAAGACAGAAGTACACAAAATAATTTGTGGTATGGAGAAGGTAAGTCAGACATTCTCCTTAACTCCATCTTACAACAGAAAAACAGCCTCGTACAAAGACCATACAAAAGGGCTACGTACCCAAAATTATTCTAATGAAACACTCTTCTTTATTCTTATTAGACCACCTAATTAACTCCCTGCCACAGGATACCACTGATGCTGGCAGCCTGCTGGAGTCATAACAGGTGCAGACTTTCACATGGATAATGAGAGTTGCTGCATTAGGCAGGAAAAATAGTAAAATATAAAAATCCTCATGCCTCAGGGTATAAACCATAGCAGGCAAGACTTTAGGAACAAGCTTCCTCTACGTACAGATTACCCCGTAATTGTCTGTTTCAGGATTTGTTGTAGCTGCCCCTGCACCATATGGCATTTGTCAGCGTCTGAGAACGAGGAGCTCCGCTCTCCTCCTGTGCTGCAGTTCCTGCTCACAGCTCTACCTGTATTCCAGCGGCGAGCAGCCGAAAGCACGCCTGCGCAGCCAGGCACAGGCAGCTGCCTTGCCACCCCTGTGCCACAAGCCACCAGACACCAGCCACCTCCTGTCTGGAAGCCACAAGACTATGGGAAGCACCCAGCCCAAGTCAGCAGGAGCGCCGGACCGCCTGCATCTGACCACACAGACACGGTGTAGAAGCATGTGTTTTGGCCACCATACGGTGCACGCTAGTCAACGGAGCGGTCCCGATTAAAGCAAAATGCTGGCCTCCATCAGGGTCGTATCATACAATCTGCGCATCGGGTTCTCCATCCCAAGAAGTGGTGACAGGAACACGGTAAAGCAAGCTCTCGTATGCCCCTATTATTTTGAGCACTATTCCCTTAGGGCTTTGTAGACACTGGAGCTGATCTTTAGCTAATGGGTATTTTTGTCCTTTGCTGCTCTAGCAATAGGCTGCTCATGAACAGGATTCTGGACAGTAAAAGCTCTGCTATCCGCTTTCATCAAAACTGAATAGCATTACCCAAATCAGCCAAATACACTGCCCATTCAGCCGGGTCTGCGGGGGCGGGAGAAGCTGCTAACAGCCCAGCCAGAACGCTTGTGGGGGAGCTGACCTGAAAGGGATTTTTCATGCTATGCTAACGTTATTTACGGTAACGCAATCCCCTACAGACAGGGCATTGTTCGCCCTTGACAAACAGCCAAACGGTGTCCCAAACCGCCAGCCTGGACAATGGGGCAGCGGCACGTGGCCGGGCACAGGCGAGACCTCAGTCGCCCCGATGCTGCCCCTCGGCAGCCAGCTGGCAGAGCCCACAGACCCCTCCAAAACACAGGGTGCCACTGTTAAAGCCCAGGTACCACACACTCAAAACTTATCTCACCGGCAGGAACCGAATTGATCCCGGCCAGGATTAATTACCAACCTCTTACGTTCGGTGGCTCAACCCAGGGGACCAAAGCAGACCACCTAGCGCAGAAAGAGTGAGACCACCTGCAGATGTGGTGTCTTAAACTAACTTTTCCCCCCACAAACAGACAGAAAAAGAAGTCAGCACCTGACAGGGGTTACCGCACTTACAACTGGCCCAGCATGTTAGGTGGCCACGTTATACCTTAACGATAAGAAGGAAAGCAAGAATTGCATAGATTATTGTTTGTCCTTTGTAGCTTTTTTAAACTAGTACAGGACTTTGTTTTATTTTGGTTTTGTTTTACACTTCCAGTGAAATTCAACTTCCATGAGCAGTCCTACCTGGATACCCGCTTCAGCAGCAAAGCCAGGCTAAGACTCATGTGTGGGATTCACTGCTTCACCATCTCCCTAGACAAGTCCTCTGTCACAAAAGTCAGTTTTGGAAGAGACTGTGAGGTCAGCTGGCCTAAGAGTGGGCAACTAGAGAACCAGGAGGCTTGATCACCACGCGGTAAGAGACAGATGGGGAGATGGCACTTCATCTGAAACACGTGCGCCTTACCAGGCAAATACTACAGCAACATTTTAAAGCATTAGAGCTGCTCAGCTCTGCCTATATACACAGACAATTTTCCTCTCACAAATGATATAAGAACAGCAGAACGAGATATTTTATTTTTTTTAAGAAATCAAGACTCCAGAAACAACCTTCTCTAGGCATAACTGAGCACAACTGCCAATAACCGAAAGCCTTCGGGCATCTGTTGGCAGATGCTGGAAGGGCAACTTGATTTCAGGAGATCTCAAATACTCACTGAATAGCACTGAGTGCAGAGACTCCTGAGCAGACCATCCTGTCTGTTTGCGTGCTTACTTTTGAAGCCTTTGGAGCTTAGACAGAAATATAAAAAAGCAGACAGAAAGCTGTTACGAACCCATTACATAGCGACAGACCTTAATCAGTTGGGAAATCTGAAGACAGCCTAGGGAAGGCAGATTGGGGACAGAATTAAAGTGAAGCTGTTCAATCCGCCTGTCACACAGGTGCATTATTCACATATATTCTTCTGACCCTTTCCCT